AAGGTCTTCTTACATTCTCCTACCAGGCTATTGGGGAAATTCTCGATGTGAGATCTTAAACACTAGAGAGGAGAGAGCTCTTGGTCAGGTAGCCCGCAAATTGAAATATTTAAGCCATTTTTAGGCCGCTAGATAAGACGAGCATCTCGAAACGTCGGGCCAAAAAGGGTTTCATCTGACCACCTTGCTCAGCAGGGATAAGATTCGAGGTCATGCCGAGGTGAGAAAGGGTAACAAGGAGATTACTTCTTCTTCTTCTGACTGCGCATCGAGAGAGAAAATGTTATTGTGCCAATAACATGACTAAGGAGTTCTGAAAAGAAGCTGCTAATCGATCAAGTGGCTGGAATTTCCTTTAATGCACATTCTACGTTTGTTGCATGGGCGTAGTCCGGGATTGTGCCTTTTTCATTGGTGCCTCACTCGCTTTTGAGACCACAACGAGGAGATCACTAATAAAAAGGTACAGTGACGAGTAGAGCGAGCACCCATGCAATGAGCGTGGAATGCACTTAAGCGCGGTTCATCCTATTTGGGGGCACCAATATGGACAGCACTTGGTGAAGCTTCCACAGGCCACCTTGTAGGGACCTACAAATTCCTTCCACAAAAGCGCCTAACTTGTACCACTTCGCAGCATAACAAGAGTTTACATGTCCATGCAAAACGAAGCCCGTTATTTAACATGAAATAGCAAAGGGAACTAGAGAATGGGCGGAATCTACCCCTCCCCCCACCTCCCCACTTTTCCCTAAGCCGAACTGAGCCTGTACTTCCATTCCAAGACAGATCGCCGCTGCCGCCCAGAAGATATTTTTATGAAGGGTTTGTCTATCTCAAGGAAACCGAATGAAACCCGGTGACTAAGGGGGTGGTTCATCCCAGATCCATCTCTTAGGCAGTAACAACAAGTTTGTACGTACTTCTTACGGTAAAGCATTCTCACCGGCCGATCCGGCTTAATCAGCTTCACTTCAACATCACATCGATTACGTTGAGATTCAGTACGGCGTACAGAAGCCCTCTCACTACCACTTCGGCGAGACTTCGTGGTTCGTGAAGAGGCACGCGATTTAAGTGATGTCCACTGAGCTCGAAGCTTAAAAAAATGGATGGCGAGAAATATCATTGGAATGATTTACGCAGACGGCTCTTGCAGGTGATGTCGCTCGTACGGGCCAAGTCACAGAGCGTCTTCCAGCTCGAGGAAACGTTTGTAAGAAACCCCCCCCCCCTAAGAACGCTTGCTTTTGTACCACTTCCCCTCCCAGCCAACTTTCCAGCCTCCTATCGCTTTTCACTTTTCTACAGTTTTTTTTCCAAAAATTCTCCACTTTCTCCCAGAAAAAGGTGCCGTCAGGGGACTAGCGCACTTGAAGCAGAGAAAAACCTAGATAAGTTGACAACCAAAGACTTTTTACAAGGGCAAGCGCAATCCCCTCGGTAGGGATGTACGGCGAGCCGTTCTTACCATTGCACCCTTCATTGAGGCAGTCTCCTCTCTGAGTCGGTGTAGAACATGAGCCCGCTAAAGAGGAAGGCACTCTAGAAGGCCCAAGCGAGCTCGTACGATCAGCGTGGAGTATGTTCTTAACAAACCTGTCGTCTGAGAGCAGGAGTTCGAGCGACCACGATCAGTGGATTCAGAACTGGATCGACAAATGCGGCTATACGTGCGATGTGGTACCTTAACATGGAAAAAGAATCTGTTGAAGAAAGCAGGACTTCATAATTCCTTCAATGGCTTAAACAGCCTCTGAAAGAAAGAAACTCACATAGCAATTGTTGGAGTAGTTTTATAATGGTCATCAATGTTTAGCGCCGCAGGTGGCGCTCCGAAAGTTGCCACAAGAATAGTGAGTTATAGGGAAAGTCTTGACCCTGGGCGGGACTCTGCTGCTGTAGTGGGACTCTGCTGCTGTAAGGCTACGGCAGAAAAGCTGTCAATTTGGCAGGGTAAGAGGCAACCTCAATGGACAGCGCAATGGATGGGAGGCGGAAGCGTGATCGGGGTTCAATGCCCGCCCTGGGGTCGAGGATATGCTCATGAACAATCGCTCGTCGTAATCACATCAACGAAGTGTGAAGCACAAATAACTAATACAAATAATGAGAGAGAGAGAGAGATGGAGTGTAGAATAATGCAGTAATTGGTCCGGGTCGAAAGATGCTTACTGCGGCAACACGCGATATGTACTGTGCCCATTGCGGTACTTCTAGGCTAGTTTGCAATCAGCCGCCTTGTCGTAGTATTATTGTATTTATATTTATTTGATATTTATTATTTTTGTATTTACATTTTTTAATTTATTGTATAGTGGCCTTCCCTAAAACTCAAGGGAAAATACATAGCTCTTTGGGACAAATTTTTGTTTGGTAAGCACTCACATTTGATAGATTTGCTACTTCTTCCCGATCGTCCACCCAAAATACCGCGATTTCTATATAGGTTTGACCCAACACCGACACGAAGAACGTAGCGATGGAGAAGATGAGAAGTGGAACGAAGTTTCCTCATCGACGTCGATCGTGGAGACTGATCTCTGAATATTCTTGGTTTAAAAGAAATATATGCAAAACGTCCTAGCCACTCACTTTTTTTGGGGTCCAGTGAAGGGCGTTGTGCTACGACCAACAGGGACGTTACGTGACACATTCCGATCCTCTGCGGGAATCGTTTCTGTTTTCAATTCCTTTTATTTTATAGGATCTTTCGGCTCCTTCGGACGGGGGGGGGGGGCTCTATTTCAAAGGTCAAGATCACTGTGAGGCTCCGGAACACCAGAATGCCCAGATTCTATTTTTGCTAATTCAGTCAAAAACGAGAAAAAATTAAGTTCCGCCGATCCTTCTCCCGAAAGCGTCCTTATCTGTGATGTCAGGATCACGTGTTTGCCTGGGAACTTGCTGGTAGTAGGGTCTCCGGAAGGAGCAAGAAGGATGGGTATCATTAAAACACAGAACCCACGCAGATTGTGTGGGCGGACTCAAGCTCAGCATTGTGCCTTCCTCTTTGGTACATTTCTTCTCTTCCATGTACTGGAGAGGATGAAGGTACAATAGTCAGTTTGACTCCACCCATACAACCGCTGTGGGCTGCTCTTAATAACACTCCTCGCGGCCATGATTAACATTATCTCAAATGTCACGAAGGAAAATAACATACCGTAGTCCGCTATGAATGAAGTCATGTTGCCTGCGAATGCGACAGTGATAGGCTACAGTAATAGTGAAGATCAAGATGGAAGCTGAGAGGAAAAGCAGAGTGAAAAGGGTATGACCCCGTAGCAAATAGGCACCGAATGCATGAAATACGGCCGTTCTGTCGCACTGAGTCGCGATCTCTTCGTAGTTGGAACGTGGCTTTCTGAAAGTGAGAAGCCACTAGAAAATGGAATGTATCCTAGAGACTG